CCCCGCGCCGGGCGCGCTGGGCCCCGGGCCTGGCGGGGCCGAGCGCCGCGCCCTCCTGACCCGCCGCTGGGGAGCCCGGCCGGCCCCAACCGCCTCCCGGACCCACCGACCCTCGGGCCCCGGCCTGCCGCCAGGACCCCCGCTTTGTGGATCTGAATTAATTTTTGGCCTCTCCCCCTCCTCCTTGAGGTTTTACGTTTCTGCAGGCTGACCCCGCCACCTGGGTCGCTGCCCCCGGCGGGGAAACATCCCTCATTTTGTTCTTCCCCGCGGGCTCTCCCCGCGCCCCTCGCCTTTCCTGTTTAATGGATGGGGGGGGGGGGTGAGTGTTTCCCCTTCATTTTTCTCCCCTCTTGACTGAAGGCCCGGCGCGAGGCTCGGCGACTCTGCCCTCGTCGTCTCTTCCTCACCCCCGCGTGGAGACCCCGATCCACCTGCCTCTCCGCGGGGATGGCCCGCCAGTGACGGTGCCCTCGGCCGGGCAGCCGTGAATCCCCACTCCCCGCCTTCGACTCCTCTGTCCCACCTTCCGAGCTCTCTGGAAAGAGAGGAGGCACTGGGGAAGATGTGGCTGAAGCTGTTTTTCTTGCTGCTCTATTTTCTGGTCTTGTTCGTCCTGGCCAGGTTTTTTGAGGCCATTGTGTGGTATGAAACTGGCATCTTTGCCACCCAGCTGGTGGATCCGGTGGCGCTAAGCTTCAAGAAGCTGAAGACTATTCTGGAGTGCCGGGGGCTGGGCTACTCGGGGTTGCCCGAGAAGAAGGATGTCCGGGAACTGGTGGAAAAGTCAGGCGAGTATCAGTCCCCCAACTGCCCCCGGGGTCCCTTCCGCCTGGGAGAGAGGGCGACCTCCTCATACCTGGCTCTTCCCTAGAATGAGGCGTTCCCTGGAAGAGTTAAACAGACTGCTCGGAGAGCTGCCCAGATTTTCTTTGTCCAGGTTTTCTATAATAAAATATGTGAATCACAGTTTTGAGAAGGGGGCTGAAATTATTTGTGGAGGTGTTGGTGTGTCTTTCCAAGGTTACTTTAAAATGACAGTTTCACGGGTTGCTTCTTAGAATTGTTTACTAAGTTGAGTGATTTTCTCAAAATTTGGGGATGTCAATCAGTTGCAAACTGGAAAGGATTATTTGTCAGTTGAAATTCTTAAGATATGAAATATAAAAGGAAAACTTCAAGATGTTGTCTGTAAACAGCAATATTTGTCACAATAGTAATAGCTAGCTACCCAGAGGGGAAAACATCATTGGAATACTTAATTTCAAAGAGGCATTTGGGCCTACGATTTTAAATGTTAAATTATGAGTTTAAAGTGTGCACTGAACAGTTGTAGCTTTTCATACTTTGGTGAAAATATGGTGGATATTTTGTGTGAATGACTACCTTGGTTTTTGGTTTGTTTGTTTTTTTTTTTAAGATCACTGGTAAGTATCTTAACCCTTGACTTGGTGGTGTCAGCACCACGCTCTCCCAGTGAGCTAACCAGCCATCCCTATATGGGATCCGAACCCATGGCCTTGGTGTTATCAGCACCGCACTCTCCCGAGTGAGCCACAGGCCGGCCCTGCCTTGTTTGTTTTGAATTTATATTTCTATCAGGATTCTTTTAAAAAATTTTGTATCTTGGATGTACACTCTCTTTTGTCTTGTGTCACAGGCACTGCTGCATCACAGTAGGTGGAGAAATAGAAGTAGCGCTAAGAGAATATTTAACGTCTTAAAGTACTTTCAGTAACTGTCGGTTTGGGGTAGGTTGGGTGAGAAGTATGGTTAATTTTTTTTCACTGGCAGACAAAGTATATCTTTGTTTATGTACACTGTACTTCCTGAAAGGGAAATGTAATTTGAGAAAGGCATTCTAGGTTGCTGTAGAAAACAGTTGAAACTGATGGTTATCTTTTTTTGTTGTTTCGAGTATGTCTGTCAGCTTTATCTTTTACAATTTTTTTTCCTTATTTAGTAACCTGTAGCCATGCAGTGTAATAAACAAGAATACGAACTCCACAGCAGTTTAACACTTGCTTACTTGTAGGTTAAGGGTTCTAAAACTCATACCTCACTACTAGGGTAGAGGAGGAGAACCTTCTCTGCAAAAAGAAATAAATTTTTCTTTAGAGAAAATATGAAATCTTGTGTTATCCTTTCGTCTTGTTTACTGACTGGTTTATGGTGACTTTTATTTCTACCTTAGGGAAAGAAAGGGAGTTAACTAAAGTAAAAGATGTTAAAAGTAAAGTTAAGAAATGAGAAATGTCTTAACTGCCAAAGCCAAATCATTTTTTATGGTGGAATAATTTGATCCCACATTTTTTTTCTTTTGACTTTTATTTATTATTGCCCTTAGTCCTAAGAATGTGTCACATTGAATGTACAAGGAGTCCACATATAATCTAAATATATATAGCCCACAAAAATATGACTCAGATCACACGTTTTATATCAGAGAAGTCTTGGTATGGCAATTTAACTTTAAAACTTAACTATTCGTTGAGAATGGTTTTGCTGCTATCGTGGTGCAGTACTGATTTCTCACTGTTTAATATTTAAGGCAAAAGTTAAAATAATTTGATATTAGTGTTTTCCTTTCTTGTTTGCTGATACAAGCTGTAATTTACACTGCAAATTTATGTATGAATATGGAGTTTGTTCTAATAGGTAATGTTCTAACTATCAAGTCATATAAACCCTGTTGCTATTTTAAGCAGGGCTAATGGCGGATTCTGTGAACCCATTTCTAAATCTTTTAAATCAGAAGCATGTAAACCACACTGTTTAAAAATTATATGAAGTCTGGACATGTGCACAAAACTAAATATTGTGATGACTTTTTGGACTGATACAAATTCAGTAGTTTCCTAATAATTATGTGATGACCCCACTAGAATGTAAATTCTTTTCTGTAAGAGATGGATTTTTGTCTGTTTTGTTCACTTTTGCCTGACACATGGTAGGTTCACATTACATATTTATTGAGTGTATGAATCTTTTTTTTTTTTTTTTCGTGACTGGCAACGGATCGCAACCCTCAGTGTCGCGCCCGTACCGGACCGGGACCGGCAACGGGATCGCAACCCTCGGTGTTGCCCCCGCTCCTCGCTCAGCCAGTGAGCGGCCGGTCTGTATGTGGGATCCGAACCCTCGGCGGGAGCGCCGCCACACTTCCCAAGTGGCGCACTGTAGCAGTGCGCCACCGGGCCGGCCCCGAGTGTATGAATCTTAAATGGGTGTATTCAGGTTCTACTGTTCTTTTCTATAGAGTACAGTAAAGAACAATGACATGAATCTTAATAGTATAAAATGGAATTAATCATCGGTGTTGGGAACATGGAATTTTTGAAATCTTATTAGTGTTTTTTTTTCCTTTCTTCAGGTGACTTGATGGAGGGTGAGCTCTATTCTGCTCTCAAGGAAGAAGAAGCATCTGAATCTGTATCTAGTACCAATTTCAGTGGTGAAATGCACTTCTATGAGCTTGTAGAAGACACAAAAGATGGCATCTGGCTGGTTCAGGTATCAGAAGCAGTGATAGTTCTTGATAATTTGACAACCTTAAAAGAGAAATTCTAGGGGGCCAGCCCGGTGGCGCACTGGATAAGTGCGCCGCTTGGGAAGCGCGGCGGCGCTCCCGCCCGAGGGTTCGGATCCCACATACGGACCGGTTCCCGCTCACTGGCTGAGCGAGGCGCAGGAGCAGCACCGAGGGTTGCAATCCCATTGCCGGTCCCCGGTCCG